GATTGTGGGGGAAACATATATTTATATGTATAGCTTTAAAAATTTAACATACAACCGTTAAGAATACGAATATTAAAAAGGATGTTGAAGGCGGTGTTCAATTATGAAGGTGTCGTATTTGGAGTGTTATATCCATAATTGCAGTGCCCCTTTTTAATCTACTTATTGTTAGGCAAATGCCAGTTGTTACTCTTTTACGAGGTGATTCCTTCAGCGTGTATCTTCATCTTGATCTGCAGCCTTCATCTTACAATACGAGCTGCTGGACGTATCCTTTTGTGAATCTTTTTATAAGTTGATGTTTGTCATGTGCTGTTGTCTTTTTATATTGTACTTACTTTTTGGTATTTGATCGTTTTATGGGGAAAAAAAAATACAAATATTGCAACATCATATGTGTTCTTTATGATTTTTTATATTTAAAAAACATTAGATTCTTTTTTCAGCACCACGAACTAATTTCTCCTGATATACAAGAATCTTCATTTACTATTTATATTGATGATTTGTTTCCTTTCGCAATTGAATTCTCTTGGACCTTGTGTTTGTGCTGTTTAAAAAATTAACTTCTCTGCAATTTTCGTTCAATCTCCGTGTAATTTCTACTCAATAACTCGGAATCTCTATGCAATATCTATGCAAACTCTAAGTAATCTCCGTCGGTTGAGTTAGTATGGAAGAAAAGTTTGGGTGGAATTAGAAGTAATATCGCTAAATATATATTAGGAACACTTAAAGAAGACCTTTTTTAGCCATACTTATAAAACACTAAGAAAATTTTTTTATATAGATGTACAATTTTACTTTTTATTTATTATTGTGTCGATTTTGTTTATATAAGGTATAATTTATATTAAATTGGAATAAAGTTAAAAAGATATCGAATATTAAATGAGAGTTGATAAAATTTAAATTTTTCTTCATCTGTAAAAAAAATTGAAAGTAACTTATAAATATATATATATATATATATATTATAGACATAACATTAGAAATCAACAGATTTTGGTGGCGGCGATTGCCCCATTGGCTTTTATATGGGGCTGCCCTTACTTCTATATGCTCGCGCAGGGAATGAAAAACAAATTTATCTTGTTTATAGGTATCTGCCATAAAAGGAAAAAAACATATGTCACAGGGGAACAAAGGCTCTCAAAGGCCCAAAACAACAACAGTAACAACAATCGACAACATAGAATCCTAGACTGCAAGCCTTATCTGGTACACTCGCTAAACTAAAACCTTTAACACAGCTGACTTTTGGAACGGAATAAACAAATATTACAGGGTCGAAAATCCACACAGTGTCAATATCTAATGCTGTATCAATAATAAGCTTACTTGTAGGTTCCCATACCCACACCAGTCTCTCGGCCAGTATAGGGCTGGAAGCTGTTCCTGGCCTTTGAATAGCTGACATAATAGAACTGCGAGACTATGGAAGTGAACAAGATGAAAGCAGCACCTGCAGCAAAAACTCCCTTCCGAAGGGTTGCACAAGAAATTGGGTCGATGTCCGAAAGAGTCCTGTATCTTGTATGATAAGCATTCCTCACTGATCCTGCCAACAAGCATATCTCGGCTATGAAGAAACACAACCTGAGACAGTAGCAAAAAGAAGAACAGTCAGCTCAATACAACAAAAGGTACCAGGAAACTGAAACTCTTATCTTCAAATTTGATTGAGACTAAGTATTCCTGTGAAGAATGATCATATACCAGCAGATTAAGAAAAGGATAATTGCACAGGCCCTTGGACCTCCGGGGCTCAGAGGCTTTCCACAACAGAAGCAACGGCTTGCCGCCATTATGAGGATTTGACTGATCAGGAGGAACAGAAATGCGCCCGCACCAAAACCAGTTGCAATATCAGAATCATAGCGACAGTAATCATAATTGTAATCCGAGTCATGAACAACCTTGGCCTGCCGACAAACACGAGAAGAAGGGGAAAAAAATGCAATTATTGCACTGAAAAGGAGCTAAGGAACTCGAATTCAATGGCATCCCAGATAGAGTATCAATTTTTTTTTTTTTACTCGGAAGAATTGAGATCACCATTACTTGTGACATCAGAAGCATTGAGTGCAACATTTAAGAAACTAGATCTTTGGCTACAGAAATGATAAACCAATTTAGTGCATAGCAGACTAGTCCCTCCAGCGTATCAAGCATTTCTTCTAGAATACAGCGGGATATCTATATACTCCTCCGGTCCTTATTATAAGACCCCATTTAACTTTTTATTTGGTCCTAATTATAAGACCCCAATCTATTTTGTCTCTTATATTTATACATTTTTTTCAAGATAATCCTTCTAATAATGATAGTTTTAGCCAATATACTTAATTAGCAAAGATATTTTAGGAATGACAATACTTATTTATTATAAATAACCAACTTAACTTACTTCCTTAATCTCCTCAAATAAGTCAATTGGGTCTTATAATTAGGACAGAGGAGTACATGAACAAATCTGGAGGACTATAAGCATAAAAAAGTCCTGGAGATCTATATGCAACTCTGGTCAAAGAAATCATACTTCATCGTGAACCGAGAGTTAACTCACAAGTGAATAAGAGATTCTTCGAAGCCTTTACTCAATCACACTAGGGAGCCATCTAATTAATACGAAAGAAATAAGGTTCGGGATGATGTTTCTTTGATTCCCTTCCACATTCTTCTCGGCAATCAAGCAAAACATTAGGACCCAGATTTTTATTTCGAACGCAGAAAGAAACGAATCAGGTAGCGAGGAAAAAGGAAGAAAGCAGTGAGATCGAAATATTAACACTGCTCACCTTGCTTCTTCTCTGCTCAGCTGCCACAGCGAGCCCAAAAGCTATCAAGTCCAAGATAAAGACTATGATGATTACGAGCTTGGAAGCCATGGATGTGATTGCAGATTCAGATCTCCCACACAGATCCGGCTTTCTTCCCGCGTTATATGCTATAAGGGAATCACCGACTCGCACGCAAAAAAGGTGGCCTCAGTCGCCGATAATGCGAGCGAAGTAAGAACTGAGCTGGAAATAATATCAATAAATCAAATCAAAGTAGTAGTTTTAAAATAGGATTCCAACCCACTTTGTTTTGTTTTGTTTATTTTTTCTGACCTGGTTCCTTGGCTTGATTAGTGATCACGTTTAGTGTATTTTAACGATTTAATAATATCTTAACTTTCGTTCAGTTTTTTTAAATAGAGGACATTAAGAAAATAGGGTCACATAAAAGATGCAACCCTGATGTTAGATGATAATGAAGTGTGGATTGAAGTTAAGAGTATTAAAAAAAAAAATACGTGCAATGTATATTATTATAGATCACAAATAATAATAATATAATACAACATTACAACTTATTTATCTTGTCTTTAAATAATTCACAGGAAACATGTATGATTTATATTATAATACTTGTACAAAAAAATCATACATGATATTATTGTATTAATTATTTTAGTAATATTTTTGTTATGTTCACAGCAATAAATATTATTCTATCACAAAACTAAAATAATTATTGCACGTCGTTTTTTTATGGGAGGAATTATTGTAACGTCTTAGAGAATGAAAGTAATTATTAAAAAGTTAAGTATCAATTAAAATTTGTTATTTTCAGTTTTAAAACTTATCATTTCTTATTGTAAAATTTATTATAAGCTTCTCAGTTGTTATGAGACATTTTTATGAATGTGTTTGGGGACCTTATTGGAATTCTCCATTTCTTTTAATATCATAACTGGACATTTTTTCTATATAGCATGAAATTATGTAATATAATTTTAAAAAATATTTTCGGAGAAGCACAATAATTAAAGGGCTAAAGGGCAATCTCCCTCCAAGTACTCTGACAGACACAAATGATTTCCCTATAAATGAAGTATTGGGTATTTTTGGAGGCTTCGTATTATTTTCTGGGGAATAACCAGCTCAGGAGAACTCTACAAGAGCCGTGGTAGGTACAACTGCTCCAAAATGCTGTTAGAGAATTGATGGTATGGAAAAGAAATGAAGGGATGAGCATCAGGGCGATAATCAAAAGGCCAAATGAAGTGGACGCGTGCATTGAAGTTGATAGACACGCACTTAAGAAAGTGACCTCCGCGTGGTTTCTTTGGGCCAAATAGCGAAGTGTATGTTTTTGCAATGGGCCTTTCATGATGAAATAATGGGAAAAACTGCTTTCATTGAGAGTCGAACTCAAGACCTCCCGCTTACTAAACGGGTGCTCTAACCAACTGAGCTATGAAAGCTAGGTGTCAGGGGTTTCTCGTTAGAATTATTCAAAGTTCTTATTCTAGCTTCACACGATGACCGTCCCAAAACAAATCCATCCCGGCTTGCTAGGCAGGAAAGGGGGGGAAAAAAATCCATCCCAGCATTCCCTCTTAATTTTTTATAAATTACATTTGCTTTTATACAATTCTATCAATATATTTTTAAATAAAAATATTTTCAATTTTTATGTTATTAATACCGACTGAATTTTATATGCATTACGAGTTTATTAACATACTCCTTCCAATTTCTAGTATAAGAATTATTTGAAGAGTTAAATTAATCCTAAATATAATATGTTAAACCCTTTTGTTTTTAATATTTATCATTTTTTCAATCTAATCTACATAACATATAAAACTGATATGTAATATGTTGCACAGTAACATATTTTACAAAAATTATATCACATTTATTATAATTAATCAATTTATCTAACTTATTTAATCTATTTAAATTAATTAAATATATCTTGACTCAACGACAACATGGAACATGAACTGGTACAAAAAATCATTAATACTAATCGATTCCTTAGGAGCAAAATTCATGGTTCAAATCTTGTAAATTGGGGGGGGGGGGAATCCACGTTAAAGAGGCCATTCCCTCTAAATATTGTAAACTTTGAAATTATCATAGAAAAGCGATTCATCGTTGATCCCATGAGGGGTTTATCGCGAGCAATGAGCTGATTTCACTTCCCGTTGGAAGAGGTCTGAATGTGTGAACAGAACACAAATTCATTCAAGTGAAATGCAAATTATGTGAAATCGTTACATCGCAATTACACCTCATCTGTTGGCATAAACGTAACACATCCTCAACGGATGCAACTTCGAAAGCCGAGTGATCCAAAAGAGAGAAAATCCTCATTATACTCACACGACCGTGATCAAATCATCTAACTCTAATCCTCTGATTCCGAGTACATAATTCAACTACTATTACATGGCGGCATCAGGGTCCAATCTTCTCTGAATAGCAGCAGCAGCCTACAGTGAAAACAATGGCAACTGAGTAGGACAGCCTTTCAAAGGCTGATGAATAAGCCTCAAATAGAACTTAGGTTCTACTCCTTACCTCAAAATTTCCAAGCTTGTATTGGTAAGCCATTTCCTCTCTGAGTTGAGCTTGCTCTTTCATTGCCTGTGCCTGCAATTCATGGCAAAAGAATTTTGGAAAAATGACTTAGCTAAGGATCAAATGAGTGACTAGAATAACTACTAGAAATCAGCTTGAAAGAAACTTCGTGAAAACAAACCATTCCACTCTGCATGGAGCGCTTTAAGGCTAGCACTTGTTCTTCCTTGTGCTTTTCACGTGCTTGCTGTAATTCTAGCCTGCAAGCGCAATGAAATCAATTATTAAAGCCAAGAATCGAGCAAGAAAATCAGGATCAGCAGAGACTAGCATTGTGTGTGCCGCAAGGAACTGTTTGACTGCCAGGGGGACTAACATTTAAGAGGTCTTATCGGTTAATTCATAACTTGCATGCATATAGGCGCACAAAAACAGAAGCCTTTAAACATAATTCCCTTGGCCTAAATATAGAATGGGGCCTAGGTAATATAGAATTAATTGGCACACAGTCAGACATACATGCACACCAATCACATCCTTGATATGTGTCATTGTCCACTGTAGTGATGAAAATTTCAAGGCATTTAATATATGGCAGAATCATGTAGATGAGAAACAATTATCAGCCTACAAAAAATTGAGAATGCACAAGAGATGCTAGGTTACCAATCAATTGTTACGGGAAAAAAAAATTGAAACGAGTCGCAATATTGCTGGTTTCTTCAGCAGACAGATCAAAATAACATATGTAACTTGCGAAAAAAGACAGCAACAATAAAACCAATTTAAATTAAAATCAAGGCATACCTTCGTTGCTCTTCATCATTAAAAACAGTACGTTCTGTTGCCGCAGCCTTCTTAAAACCTCTTTCCATCTCTTTTTCCATCTGACGCCTGTGATAAGCATCAAGGTTGTAGTACCTGCCAAATAGAATGTGGAGCATTTGTCAACCCTAAAAATGTATAAACTAGTTTATGATATTGCAATCTTAAATCCACTCATGCACTGTACAACATGCACCTTGTACATATATATTTCGGTTCGAGTATAGAAAATAACGGAGGACCAGAAAAATTCACAGGCTAGAACCACAGGTGAATAAAAGGGAGCACAAAAATTATGCAAAAATCAATTTGAATAAGCTGAACTAATGGTAAAGATCTATACTTTTTTGAGGGGAAGGTAGCTGTGTTGTGGTCCTCCATGAACCTGCATATAAGCAATTGAACAGAAAACAAACAATCAACTTAACATTGTATTGAATGTAAAACTTAGCACGTGCATACAAAATGAATCAATAAGCCAATTAAAGGGCAAGAAAATAAAGCATGCATCTTAAAGTTCATTATCAAAAAAGACCATGTATAGATAACAGACACAAAGTTCATGCACATACTCTTTGAACATCTGCTTTTCCTCCCAGTTAGAGAGGCTCTCCAGATTAACCTGTTAAGAAACGCCAGCAATCATATTAGATATTCCACATGAACATGACACAAATGTAAACTACAATAGAAGGGAAAAAGAATAATTGCAATAGATTTAGAAGATAAAGAAAGCAATGTATTCTAATTTGCTAAGGCGTACAATTTTGATCATCAACACCATCATGGAAACAATAACAATATTTCATGTGAAGAATATGGAAAAGCTTTCCATCTGAAATGTTAAAAAATCAACTTTTCTAATTTCCCGCAAAATGGATAAAGCACCAAATATAATGAACAGCTAAGAGGTAACATCACATTTGTTATTTACAGAGTGAAAAAGAACAGAATAAATACCTGCTTTACTTCTGCCAACCATGCAGTGAACTCTGGTCGTTTGTTCCTGTAATATTCAGAAAATCAATCAGAGAACAGATGATGGAAGGGTTAATTCACAAGAAATAACAGCTACAAGTGCTGGTTATTAATGATCCGACAATAAAATTTGTCTGACAATTTACTGCCTCCGAACATTCACGGCTGTCAATCTAAAATATCTTGTGATAAGCATTGGTAACTGATGCCCTGAAACGAGAGTCTAAACAAATCAAAGCTTTTCCACAAGAAAAATAACAGCAGGACCTTACAATCCACCCAAAATGTTCACAATCAGTAGGCTACAATTTGAAGTATATTAGCAACCTCCCTGATCACACACAGCCTCGCAAGTCGCAAGAAAAACATACGAAATCACATGATATGTACATCTTATGAATTTCAACAAAAAGCAAATGTTTTCATTGGAGATTTTACAACTAGACAAAAGAAAAACCTTAATCACTTACCACATATCAGTTTCTCTGATAATACCATACTTTCCCCATGAATTCGTGACTGCACCCTTCTTCCCCCTTTCTTTCTTTTCCTTCTTCTTTTTCTTCTTCTCTTTCTTCCGTTTATCCTCTTTCTCCTTTTTCCGCCTCATCCTCTCCTTCTCTTTCCTTCTTCGCTTCCGCTCCCTCTCTTCCTCCTTCTCTTTCCTCCTTCTCCTCTCCTTCCTCTTCCTTCTCCTTCTCTCTTCCTCACTCTCAGACTCCTCAGAACCCAAGCTTTCCGACTCGGAATCCGAATACTCCGAATCAGAACCTGAATACTCGGACTCATCATCCTCAGAGTCCGAACTGGAATCGGAATATTCATCACTACTGTAACGAATCCGTGATTTTCTCTTTCTTCTATCACTCTTCCTGTGCTTCCTGTCATGTTCTCCATCCGAACCAGAACTTTCTCGCACTCTCCTCCTCGAATGATTATTATCCTTTCTATCATTTTCCAAGTCTAAATCCGAATTTTCTCGCTCTTTCCTAGATTTCCTCTTAACCGGAACATCGTCTTTATCTTTCTCCGAAGACATTCTCTCTCGGCTCCAACTCTCCAAGCTTCAGGTGCCCGAGTGAGTCGAGCGTCAGAGCGAGTTGAGTGGATAACTCGGCAACGATGAAAGGCAGGATGGAACGACTCGGAGCTCCTAAGTAGTGTGACTCTTTTAATTGATAGACTTAGGGCTCAAGCCCAACAAGCGCAATCGAAATTTCGAACAAAATGAAGAATTCAATTTGAATTTCTTTTAATATACATAATAAAATAATTAATATTTTATAAATTTAGTATTACAACATTAATTTTTTTTAAATTTTATAAATTTAGTATTACAACATTAATTTTTTTCCAAAAAAATCACATATTACATACTTGTCCAGAAATTTTATTCAAATAACTAAAAAGAAATTTAACCCAGACAATTTGTTGTGAGAATTTCTTTGCTAGAAATTTTTAAAGAACAAGCTAAATGCTTATGAATAATATGTTTTTGTGTAGATTTTATTAGATAAGGATATGACAATATTGATGATGTATTGATTCCTTAGAATTAGTCCATGCATAGAGTGGATAAATATATATTAAAAAATATATATATGGAAAAAATATAATGAATAAATTTTAGGCCCTCCCCTCTGCTCACTTCTTTTTCTTACCCTCTAAATGCGTTCCTTATATTTAAGAACTAAATCCAGCTGATGCGTAAGAATCTCAGTGTGTCCGAAATTCGATTGCCTTGATTAAGTTGGTGCACAAGAAGCGGTTCTGTTTTGTTCAATAGAGGCCAACATCAAGCAGACTAGTACGATCTCTGCTAATGTTTCTTAACAATAACAAAATTAATAATTATTTCGCTTTTGAGCTAAGAATGTTCTCCAATTCTTCATCCAACACCACACCATCAGCTTTCATTCTCTCTAAAATCTCATCTACTTGCTCCCCACTTCTTACATATACCTTCAGCAAAGAGAGATACATGTCCCTATTCATGGGAATCACAGTTTTTAGAGAATTTACAAATTCTTCTACTTCATCCATATTTTTATGATCAGAGCCCCAGCTCAATATGCCAGAAATGACGTCAAGCTTTGGCCTCCAACCTTCATTCCCAGCCCTTAAAGCCAAAGCAAGCTTCATGCACTGAAAGGCCTTCTCCATGTGCTGCTTGGCCACATATCCAGAAGCAATGATAGACCAACTATTGGGGATTGGAGTCTTACCTTTACTGGTCATGCTTTGAAGCAATGTTTCAGCCTTTTCAATCATTCCCATATGAGAATAAGCATTCAAGAGGACGTTTGGCACCCTGAAATCATAATAGTTACCTGACGATTCCCACTCCTGGAGCACTTTTTCAGCTTCCTCAAGATCTCCTAGCTTCACCAGAGAACCCAGCATGTTGATATAATACTTGTTAATTTGCTTCTTACATCTGGCTTTCAGCAGATCCCATATTCTCAACACTGCTCTTTTATTCCCAAGGCTTGCATAGTGTGTAATCAGATGGTTGTAAGCAAGCGCATCATTGCCTGCCTTACCCTCGCATTTCTTCAAGTAAATCAGAGCTCCCTCCTTCTGACCCGCTTTTATGAAGAAGTTGGCCACCATTGAATATACATTCCAACTTTTGAAAATGTAGCTTTGCCTTTCCATTTCTTCCAATACTTTCTCCATATTCCCAAGATCAGACCTGGCACCATAAGAAGTTATGCAAATCCTGTAGCTAAAATCGTTTGGAAGCACTCCATCCTCTTTCATTTGTGCAAAAACATCAAGGACTTTCTCAGGGTGACCTGTGTGCATATAGAGGCACATTATGTTGTTATAGTCCAGAACAGAAGCACAACGCAAGTCTTTAATCTTTTGCATGAGGGAGAGTGACTTATCAACCAAGCGTTCCCTGACATAACAATTTAAAAGAGCACCATATTGCTTCTCAGTTTTGTCTGCATCACTCAGGTTTTGAAAATAATTCTCAGCAAACTCCAGGCCTCGTACTTTACCAATAAGATCCAGTTCCATAGCTTGGTCACCAGGTGAGAATTGGCAAAGCCCTTTACTTCTCATCCACTCAGAAACCTAAGACATCAAAGTTTCAACAGTCATCCATAAGATGAAGTAACAAAACCATGTAATCAATGTTGAGGATATCTCAGTAGTAATAAAATATCAAGGAATAAATGGAATGCATTGAAAAAATAATAATTTTCGCTTTTCCTTTTCCTTCAGCGATCATTCTTTGGTGATACCATGCATACTTTTCTCAGTTAAAATGCGGTGAAAGTACTCAGGATCTGTGATGCGGCCGCTTATTTAACACATGAACCAACAAGCAATTTACTTCAGTTTCATATGTAACATTCATGATATCACCAATTCATAATGAACTGAGAATGAATATCTCAATGTAAAAGTAAGCTCGCCCTTGTCAAGCACAAAAAAATAACAGTAACCAATCACCTCATCATAGAAGAAATTTCCAACCCAAGAATATTGTTTGGAAATAAGTTAATTCTGTACACTGGATACAGATAGTCTTGTCCCTATCACAGGATTACCAGAATAAACTGCACAAAACAGCCTCGCACAAACTATTTGTCCGGGCAAAGGCTGGGGCAGGAGTGAAAATCAGAAGGTGAAAATTGGCACTGCATTTGGAGAATATAAATATTGTACTTCCATCGTTCATTTTTCACAATCCTATTTTCGCTACTGCTAACCACAAAGTCAGGAATTATCAATTTCTCATAGCTCAAACCACCATTAAAAACTAAATTCACTGCTCTTTTCACTTGCCATCCCAACAAGGAGATATAACAAAATTCATACTTAGTTTACAGTTTTATGGATGCTCTCAGACTGAAACAGACAAATGCCGCTTAACCACGTCGGTGTTTTCCCAACAATTTTCCTCATGTGTTACAAATAACCGATGAAGACTCCAGCTTGAAACGCCAACAAACTGAAGTCCCCTTTTCTTACCTCGAAATGACATCAAAGAACCTAACGACTAAGGTCTGGTTCACTTTAGCAGCTTTACCAGCAATAGAACATCATGGCACACAAAACTTGAAAATCAGAATTAAACAGAGTATGGCTGGTTAGCCATATCTTCGGTTTCCTCAACATGCACCTCATAAATTACATAAAATTAAAAACCCTATTGTTTTCGCTCAGCGACAAGAAAGAAAATCCTAAGCCAAATGAAAGACTCACTTCGAGTGCTTGCTTGAAGCGGAGGCGGCCACGAAGAGTTTTGACGATGCTCCGGAGCTCGCCATCATGGACGGGGTTGCCTTCTTCGACCCACTGATCAAGAACGGGGACTAAGCTGATGGAAGGGTTTCCCAGAGGAATGATTCTAGAGGGGAGGTTTCTTCTGTTAGTAGCAGGCTGCACATTTGCAGAGGAGAACGGTCTTGAAAGTATAAATTTTTTAGTCAAGTTCAAAGATTTTTTAAGGTTTGTGAAGAAGATTGCAGCGGCCATCTCCAGAAAGCAGTCAATGTACATGAAAAATGTTCAAGCAGGGCTTCTTCTGTGATGCCCCAGCTAACAGCCCAAGCTCGCCAGAAATGCGGTAGGGTATGCCGGTATGGCGGGATTTGTCCCTTTTATTTTCTTTCTTACTTGCTGACTGCTCGAGCTTTCGATCGAATCATAATACTCCTCTCATATTTAATATAATACTTATTTAATTAATTTAATTAGATTAAAAAAATTTAAAAAATTAGTTAATTATAAAAAAATAATTAATTATAAGAAATATGATATTTTTAAAAAAAATATCATAATAATCTTTCTTGATATTTTCTCTCTCTCTTCTACTTGATTATGGTTGAGGGAATATCTATAAAGTGATTTAGAGAAAATTGATAAATATAAAAAATTAGTCTTATATTTAGAACTAAAATCAACTCAACAATTAGGTCTTATATTAAGAACCAAAAGAGTATAATATTTGAATTAAAAAAATTTCGTATACTCACAATTTTTTCACAGATACTTTGAAGACAAACATGACTTTTAACTTTCTTTTTTGGTTAGATTGTAATCTGAGGCTGTCCTTACATCTTATCCCATTTTTATCACCCGAATTACTCTAAATTGTATTGATATTATTAATTTATATAGGGGTATCCGTAGGATTCAACATTTTGTGTGATTATGTACTAAATCCTACCGACTTGTTTGAAGAAACTAAATTTTACCTTCAAATATTTTTGAATTACACACGAAACAGTTGTTTATCTTGATTTTCTTGCCTAATATCACCGCTCAAGATGAATAAATAACAAATTTTGAGTTTTCTAAAACTTTTTTTTTTTTTTACTATTCAAAAACGAAATGTGGTCTAAGTGTTGTTGTTTTTTTTTTTTTTTACCAGCTGGTCTCAGTGTTTATGCATGTTCGACCTCCTTCTTTTATTAATTTTTGATGTTTTTGGGGGAGCGTGACATGCCCACGGATAAAAAAAAGCTAGGCCCTTGATTGGGGCCTATAGCCTAACTTGATTGGGGCCTCATATGGTCTGGGTTATTTAGCAAATAGGTCAAGCCCAAAGTCTATTCAGAAGCATTTTAAGGTAAATAAGCTAAGTATCTGAAAGCTCGTAGGTTTACCCTAATCAAATTTTTAAAATTTATTTTATTAATATATATTAAAATAGATAGGTTTCTAAGTGTATTAAAAGTTAATTATTGTGTAAACTTTAGTAGGCTCAAAGTTTATTTGTGGTATTTTAAGCTTGAAACATAAGGTCTTTTTAAAAGCAAGCAGATCTTTAAAAAGACTTTAGGCCTGTTAGGCTTTGTAAAGATTCAAGCTGAAGTCTAAAACTATTGGGGGAAAAAAACACTGTATACGAATTTAGGTCCAGGCATAAGCTTTATATTCCTGCTAGAAATTTAGACCTATTTGGGCAATGCCTCGTCTCATTGGACCCGTTTCCATCCCTGCTCCACATAATAATTAAGGCGAAACAGGCCAATTATTAGACTGTGATTTTAGCTTCATGAAATTGAATTCTTTGCGAGGACGGAGTGCTACTTGAGCTTAATAAGTTTGACCATTAATGAATATATCTTCTCTGATTGCACCATTGGCAAATTCTGATTCCCGTAAACTCAATAATTCATCATCTTGCAGTATAACAAGAAGACAACTCATCACGCTCCCAACAATTTGGACCATATATATAAAGAGATACACTTGATTTTGCAGATACAAAATAATAAATTTAAAACCAGAGGGCGATAACATTGTTCCCCCAACTTATTGAATCATATGGAAAGTAAAGAAATAATAATAATAAAACGTAGATCACATATATGTATATATAAAACCTTAGCAGCCATAAAAAAGTTGGCTGCTTTTTTTTGAAGCAACACAGATCCCCAGGTGAAGTGAAAAATGGGCGTCACTTCGTGAGACCCATCTTTTTTTTTTTGGTATACTGTCTGGGAGCGTTAGAAGAACTGAGAGCGAGAAGCAAAGGTCTGGCCGAAGGACCAAGAGGAAGGAACAACATTGGAGAAGAGAACAGATTTGGAATCAGACAAGGTGAGCTTGAAGGAGAGGTTTTGGTTTCGAAGGTCCATGTTGGCTTGCCAGTAGGCCCCCCAGTTCCTATGCATTTGGGACCACGTTGCTGACCTGGACCCTCTGACCCACACATTCTTCACTTCCCCACTCCCTCCTACGTTCGATATCATCACCATGTTGAAGTTCCCTTGCCCCTTCAACGTAAACCTCACTCCCCCTCTTCTCCTGCACCCCACCCTGCAACATATTTTCACATTAAACCTCGTACATATGTATGGATGTAAACTGAGTTCGACATTCACGTAGGTTAGTGTTAATTACTATGTATGATGATTATAATTATATTACCTTGCATAAAGGACAGGGACGATGCCTTCGTTGCCTTGTCGAGCAATGCGAAAGAAAGCAGGCATGGACATGTCGAAGTGGTGGTGAGGCGGGTCGCACCACCCTCCGTGGTTGTTCGGAGGGCAAAAGTTGGTGGCCGTGACGGTGACGGTCCGGCCCCGGAGGCACCATTTAGGGTCGGCCCGGTAGTCGCACATTACTCGGTAGCATGCACCACACGCCTGCCCACCTCTGAACAACATCGTACTCACTGCTGCTGTGTTCACTCCAAACCCAGCATGAAACGTGTTATCGTAGCCACATGCTCCTCCTGCCTCATACACACATACACACATATAATCAAAACACCACTTCATTATAAGAACTAAGAGAGAATTCATCAGCGTCGGAATTAAAGATTCGACTGTACTGATATAGAAAGCTCATATTTATATCTGTGTTTTGGATCTTGTCTCCAGAGAGTTGAAAGATAAGAGTGAGTTTCATTTTCATGTGGATCTGAAGAAGAAGACTTACCCAAGGCGGTGGGACTTTGATCGGCTCCATAGAAGGTTGCATGAGCATGAAGCCAAGCTAAGGCGTGGACGTGGAGGCTTGAGGCACTGAGCACAAGGAAAATGAAGCAGAGAAAACGAGAAGGAATGATCATAAGAGGCCCCATGTTTCTTAGGAAAACAAACAGAATTGTGGGTACTTGTTCTGTTAAAATGTCTTGGAATTGGGAAATCAAATGAGGGGATGTACGTATGTATGAATAAGTGCTTGAAGGGAGTGGCTTGTTTTATAGGTTGAGGAGGCGGTTTGTCGGTGATTATAATAAAAATGGATCTACGAAATTTCCGAAATAGATAGAAAGATAGGAAGTTTGATTTTAATGAAACGCGTTTTCTTTACACGTTCTGTCAAGTACGGAGGCAAAGTACGGCTGGACAAAGGAATTTTGAGACAGCAAGATAAGAAAGCACATGTTATTATGGCCTGCATGTGCAAAAATTTCCTCAAATCTCTCTTGTTGATGTTTGGAATTGGGATCTTTTTTAAGCATTTTAGAATAAAGTAAAGTGAGAAGGCAGGGGAATCATACGAAACCAGCTCGTAAGGTAGAGAGGATGAACTCAAACGACATGTTCAAGGCTTGTGGGATCTTGTATTCGGAAAGAATTCTCTCGCGAATTGTTTCATGACGAGCCTCTTATTTTAGATTAATGTTGATTTAATCTCGTTCAAACCGAAATGGTGTGAGATTTCCTTGTGACAAAGCTCTAGAGCTTAGAGAGGGAAATTGGAGTCAAAGATTTTGGCCAAGCGTAGTGATCAGTACTGAAAATAGGTGTGGTCAATTTTTTTAAAAATTTCTTTTTCGTTTCTCTTGGTTTATAATAAAAGGTCAATACGAAGTGTGATCAAGTTTCGAGACCTGCGGAACCACAGTTTCTAGGATTTAATTTTTTCTGCAATAAATGAATTATCACGGCGATATTGTAAGAAAGTGATGATAAGAAAAATAAATTATTACTTTCATTCCTTGATCTAAAAGCCAGTTGCGGATTAAATTTAATCCTCAACATAAGATCATTTTGTCTTACATTTTATTTAAAATATCCTTATTAATTATAAAAGATTCTCATCACCAAGGCATGATTCCAATAGTACATGATTAAGGAGAGTAGTTTAAAGAAGTCAAGATGTATTTATTATAAATAACCATCTATACTAATTTTTTTTAATTTTTTTAAATTAGTTAGCTAACTATTATATTAAGTATTAGATCTAGTATTGTAAAGATTCTAAAGTCTTGCGTCTTTTGTAATTCTGCCAATAACTGTAATACTGTAATACACAGGCCCCAAAAGAAAAAAAAGCAATTCAGTATTGTGTATGAAGAAAAATGTAAAAAGAAAATATTTGAGAGGGTAGTAATTTTTTATGGGGATGGACTGACGCCACTGCGCCATATATATAAGCACCGGCAAAATTCTCACACAATCATTCTTTTCTTTCAACTGGCTTATTTTATAATATTTTAACAAGCAAAAAAAAAAAAAAAGGAATCCCCAAAGCTTTTGATATTATCAATCCCAATAATCTATTTTAAAGCATTTGTTTGGTTACAAAGGAAACATATTGGTACACGTGGGAGAGTTTCCTTTCTTTTCTTTTTCGTCAGTAACAACTTGGGAGAAATTTGAGAGAATGAAAATGCTTACAGCAAAAATCAAACTCAGATTTATCAATTCCATATAATTTATATATAATGGATGTGACATGCGACTGTGCTACAACTCTCTTGTGATAATCCATTTCGTTATATCACGAGACTGAGCATTTTTTCAGTTCATATGCATAAGGCCCACACATCCACGGTAATATTCATTCATAAGAATCTTCAGTAAAAGGTAAAAACAAACAAAATAGCTAAACATATAAAATAGATTTAAAACATGTACTGAAATTACTTAATGCTAATACAATGATGATTATTTTATTAAAAAAGAATCCGATCACTATACAGAAGCATACGTGAGTATCTCAGTAATCCAAACATGAGACATGGTTTCAGGTAAGAAGAAGCTGAAAAGAAAAATAGCTCTACTTCCAGCAAAGGCCTTCTTTGTTTACCACCTTACAAGAATTTTTCTATACT